GGAACCACTGGCTCAGCATGTGGTAGCATTTAATACTTATGGAAGGAGTGGATTTTTTTTTTTTCTGAGTTGGAGTCTCACTTCATCGTCCAGGCTGGAGTGCAGTAGCACACTCCCAGCCACTGCAGCCTCGACCTGCTGGGCTCTGGCGATCTTTCCACCACAGCCTTCCAAGTAGCCAGAACTAGAGGCGCACACTACCATGCCCGGCTAATTTTTGAGTTATTGTAGAGACGAGGTCTCGCCAAGTTGTCCGGGTGGGTCTCGAACCCACGGGCTCAGACGATCCACTCGCCTTGGCCTCCCAAAGTACTGGGATTACAGGCTGAGCCACCAAGCCTAGCCACGAGTGGATATTTGGACATGCACTGATCCTGGAACTGGAAGACCTGGGTTCAAGGCCCACTCAGTCTCTTACCCATACCCTGTATGCCCTTAAGAAAATCCTCAAACTGCTTAGGGCTCAGTTTTCTCTTCTAAACAGTGCTCCTTCCAACTGCAATGCTATTATGTAATTCTATATGATTGTCATAGCTAAAGTGTGTGTGTATATGGATTGGGTGGCATGGACTGAGGTGCTGGCAATAGGCACAGGGAAGATAAATATGGAAAATATTTTTTTCTCCTTCCTTCCTTTCTTCTTTCCTTCCTTCTTTCCCTCTTTCTCTCTCTTGCTTTCTTTTTTTAAAGATGGGTTCCAGCTGGGCCAGTGGCTCATACCTGTAATCCTAGCACTTTGGGAGGCTGAGGCAAGAGGATTGCCTGAGCCCAGAGGTTTGAGATCAGCCTGGGGAATTTGGCAAGACCTCATCGCTACAGTAAAATAAAAAGTTAGCCAGGCACGGTGGCATGCGCCTGTGGTTATGCTACTTGGAAGGCTGAGGCAGAAGGATCGCCTGAGCCCAGCCGGTTGAGGCTGTGGTGGTCATGTGCCCTCCAGCCTGGGTGACAGAGTAAGACTCTGACTTTTAAAAAAATGGATTCTTACTCTGTTGCCCAGGCTGAGTGCAGTGGTGTGAACGAAGCTCACTGCAGCCTCGAACTCCTGGACTCAAGCAGTCCTCCCACCTAAGCCTCCTGAGGGTCTATTTGTGACTAGAGGTGTGTGCCACCATGCCAGACTGGGAAATATTTTAATAGAAGAATTGCTAGTTTCTGGCTTCAGTTTTCAATAATATTGTCATCTAGATAACCCAAAGATTCTCCCGCTACAAAATATGTCAACTGTTTCACAAAATATAACAGACATCTCCTGAAATGCTTAGTTGCGCTTGTAAGAAAGGAAAGAAACTCTACATGGACCAAAACAAGAGAATTGAGACAAGAAATATAAGCATGAGATGGGATGTGACTAACCCCAGAAAGTTATGGGGAGGGAGGCATATTGCTTGTCTGTCCTGACCTGGGCCCTGGTTAAAGTATGACAGCTGTGTCTGAGAAATTATAATTCCTTGAGTTGCAGTTTGGACTCACAACATCTGCCGTGGTACAGGAAGCTCAAGCCAAGAAATTTACAAAAGATTGGTCTCTTGGAGTGGCTGGGAGAAGCAGACACAAAACTATTCAGGAGACATACACCCTTAACCTTGGCCACAGAGTATTACTGCCCAGGAAAATCCCCACTTAAAATGAGTTTACAGCCGGGCTCGGTGGCTCAGCCTGTAATCCCACGCCTTTGAGAGGCTGAGGTGAGTGGATAGCCTGAGCCCGCGGGTTCGAGACCTGCCTGGGCACCTTGACGAGACCTCATCTCTGCAATAAATCAAAACCCAGCCAGGCATGGTAGCGTGCGCCTGTAGTTCCAGCTACTTGGAAGGCTGAGGCGGAAGGATTGCCGGAGCCCAGCAGGTCGAGGTTGCGGTGGCCAGGAGCGGCCACTGCACTCCAGTCTGGGCGACAGAGTGAGACTCCAACTCAAAAAACAAAACAAAACAAAAAAAGAAAATGAGTGCACAAGCTAAAAATTACAATACATAAAAGGAAACAGTGTGCCATGATTGAGAGTGGATAAGGCCCTGAAGAATTTCTATAAGATCCAACAGGTCAAAGTGACAGCCTGGATGTGTGGGGTAGGCAAGAAGCAAAGGTGAGTTCCACAGAACTCTAGTTACTTAGGTGAGTCTAGGAAAGAAAAAAAAAAAGATTGTCACTATTAACAGAAATTGGGTATGAGGAAGGGCGATTTGATTTTAGACAGATTATATTTGAAATGATAGTAGGACATGCATATGGAGACAATCATTAGAACCATGGGGCTGGCTGACTTAAAAGACATCTATGGAGGAATGCTAGCTGAAGACCTGGTGATGAATGGGTTTATTAATGAAATTGTTGAAATAGGAAAGGAGACAGTCAAGAACTGAGTCTGGGAAAATACTCACATTTTGAGGACCTGATGAAACAGAGGAGCAAGCAAGAAAAGGGGCTCTCTGACAGTCCCGTTTCTGGCTGGGTCTCAGGTCAGGATTAATTTTCAGATTGTTTGGTTTTAATTCTCTCTATCTCTGGCCTAACCTTCTTGTCCCTCAAAATTTCAATGAGGATAGTGTCCCTGGGGCATAGGAAGGACTTCCTAGCTGGAAATTATAGAACCTGGCTAGGCCCTAGTACCAGGACTACTACTAAGTCACTTAGAGTTCCATTTTCTCATCATGTTAGGCCTAGGTGGATGTGAGGCCAAGATGGGGCACCACTACCCTGGTAGCACTTGACAGAATGCTGCTGGAGGGGCAAGAGTGGCATGATCAGAGGCCAGCCACCCATTGTTTGCACTTCCTCCTTTGTTTGGGTTGTATGGTTTGGTACCAGTTACTTGAAATGAATTTATGCTCTTCCTTGCCCTACTATTCCTCCTCTGCATGGAAAATAAAGTGAGATGTTTCATGCCTATAAGTGAAAATTGGGGTCACTCAAATATTAAGAAAACAAAGGTCAGGTGGAGTGCAGTGGCCCACACCTGTATTCCCAGCACTTTGAGAGGCCAATGCAGGAGAATTGTTTGAGTTCAGAAGTTCAAGACCAGCCTGGGAAACATAACAAGATCTCATCTCTACAATAAAATAAATATTTAAAAAATTAGCCAGGCATGGTGGTGCACACCTGTAATCCCAGGTACTCGAGAGGCTGAGGCAAAAGGACTGCCTGAACCCAGGGGGTTGAGGCCGCAGTGAGCCATGATGATGTCACTGCACTCCAGTCTGGGTGACAAAGTGAGACTCTAACTAAAAACAAAAAACAAAAAAAATGAAGGTCACCATTATCTTCTGTCTCCTGGTAGACCATCATTTGAGCCTCTCCACAGGGTTAAGCATTGCCCTCTGCAGGCTACTCTTCTAAAATGTTAGTTGTCGTACAAGAGTCAATATCAAATTCTTTCCCACAAACTGGTTTATTAGATACAAGATATGCAGTCACGTGAAAGCACTTAACACCTGGGGAGAGGAAAGGATGAAATTCTGACTTGACCATTTTGTCTCTGGTCAGCTGGACTGTGGGGTAGAGGGTGAGCATATCTGAGACTGAAGGGGTGAAGAAGTCAGAGGATCAGAAGCTGGTCTCATCTGGCATCATAGGACTGCGTGGTCTCCTAATTCAAGAACAGCTCAGCTCAGAAGAGAAAAGAACAAAGTCGCCAGACACAGGCCCTCTCCCTTCCTTAGCAGAGACGGTCCTTGGGGCAGACAGAGAACACACGGCTTTTTATGCTTCAAGGTCTGCCCAAGGTGGCCAGGAAGAATGTAAAAGTTTTGGGTAGGGAGTTCAAAGACAAAGGGAGGTCACCTTAGCTATCACAGGATTGTGGTTTCCTTACCACCCTCCTAGCCTCCACCACACCCCAAAGTCATGAAGGAAAGCATGAGAATAGTGCTGGGGCCAGGGCATGGTTGGACAGTAGGTAGGCTGCTGCCATCTGGAGAAGATTCTTTCTTTTTTTTTTTTTTTTGAGTCAGGGTCTCACTCTGTCGCACAGGTTGGAGTGCAGTGGCATGATCAAGATGATCATGGTGCATGGCAGTCTTAACTTCCTGGGCTCAAGAGATCCTTCTACCTGAGTAGCTGGGACTGCAGGCGTGCACCACCATGGCTGGCTAATTTTTTTAAATTTATTTTTTGTAGAGACAAGATTTTGCTATGTTGCCCAGGCTAGTCTTGAACTCTTGGGCTCAAGCAATCCACCCACTTCAACCTCCCAAACTACCATATTGCAAGCATGTGCCACCACACCTGGCCAAGAAGATCCTTTTTTGTGGCAAGAACAACAAAGTTGACCGTGAGCCTCTCCACGCTAGACTCCATGCTAGACTCAGGTGTGGTCTAGTGAAATGCCGAGACCCTTTGACCCTGACAGCATGTGACTCGAACAGATGCAGAGACACTGGCTGGAGCCTCTGTAACACCAAACACTCTAGGTATTCACAAACAGCACTGAAATACTGCAGTCCTTTGCTGCTGTTGCTACTGCCTGGGGCTCCCTCTAGTTGCTGAACCTGTTTTTCACCTCCTGGGAGGAAGCCTTTCTCAACAGTGCTGTTAAGCTCAGATGCCTCCATACTGGGGTTGGAAAATGAGCACAGTCAGAGATCTGTTTGACCCTGTCTGTTTCTAGCTGGGTCACCCAGCAAGTTGCCTACATTGCCTCCTCATCTTTGAAATGGGGTAAACGCCTGCTTCACTTGAGATTGCAAGGACTAAGGAGAATAATATATCCACAAAATTTAACACCTACACCTTTCAACCACTTTCAAGTTCCAGAAACACCTCTAACCTTTAGGTTAACTGTGATTAAATTCATTCTTTAATTCAGTGTATATGTACCGAATGCCTACTATGTGCTACAGTGCCTGGCAGGTGTGCGTGACAGTTGGTGTGTAATGTGTTGGGGGCCAGTGCCCCACGAGAACGGGCATCTCCTTTATGTGGTTTGGTACCAGTTGCTTGAAATGACTTTTCATGCTCTGGGGAGAGGGTTGAGGTATCAGGAGCTTCCATGGCAGATTCAGTAAGCTTTTAGCACAATAATTTTAATTGCAAAAATAAACAGTTTTGTCAACTGTTTGAGAGTAGCGTCTGCTTTACAAAAATTAACAACAACAAAAAGGAAAAATCCCCAAAGCAAAACGGTACATCCAATGGCTGCTGGAAACGACATTGCTGTACAAAGTCCCGCGCGAGACCGGCTCGGCGCTGCCCCAGCCTGTCTCTGGGGGGTATGGAGGAGGGCGTGGGGCGTGCGCCAGTTACAAAAGACAGTCTTGAGTCCCAAGGAAGCGCCTACTCAGAGGATGGTCTGAGAGGACTTTCCCCAAAGCGCGTGTGAAGAGGGAGACGGCGTCCGGACCGCGGGAGCTGTCCGCGGAGCTGGTGCTGAACGGGCGTGTGCGGCGGGCGCTTCGCGGGACTGGAAGCGGGACCGGAGGCCGGCCCCCGGGCGTGCGAGGAAGAGTTGGGAGGAGAGCGGGAGGGAAACGGGCCGCGACTTGGGCGCGCCAGGCGGCGGCGCCCCAACCCAGAAGCCCATCTCTTGCTCAGAGGGCGGCGAAGGAGAGGCCCAGCGAGTAAAAGCCGAGGCCCTTGAGCCGCTCCTCGGCGCGCGCCTTCTGCTTGAGGTGCACCTTGCTGTGCCTCTTCTTCTCGTCGCTGCGCGCGAAGCGGCGGCCGCACACGTCGCAGGCAAAGGGCTTCTCGCCCGTGTGGGTGCGCACGTGCGTGGTGAGGTGGTCGCTGCGGCTGAAGTTGCGGAGGCAGATGCGGCACTGGAAGGGCTTGTGGCCCGTGTGGATGCGCAGGTGGCGGTTGAGCTCGTCGGAGCGTGCAAAGCTCCGCACGCAGCTCTCCACCGGGCAAGCGAAGGCCTTGGCGTGCGGCCGAGGGCAGAAGCAGCGCGCGCTGCACTTGCCGCCCCGGCGCCCCTTGCGCCGCGCCTTGGCCGGGGGGAAGGGGGCGGCCGGCGGGGGCACGGGTGGCACAGCCACGCCGCCGCTTCCAGGGATGTCCGCCGCCAGAGGTTTCGGGAAGTCCGCCGGGGCGGCGTGGCGAAGGCCCAGCGGGGAGAGCTGAGACTGCGTCCCGGCCAGAAACTCTCCGCCGTCGCCGCTGCTCCCTCCCTCCCCACTAGGAGGGGTCAGGAGCCCTGGGAGGCCCTCGGCCCCCTCCCCTAAGTCACCCGGGGCCAGCGGGAAAGCGTCGTAGGCCCCGGTAGGGTAGAGTCTGTTGGCTGGGACGGCCGGCAGCTCCGCAAGGCAGCTGATGGACAGCAGGTCCTCGATCTTGGTCCCTATCGAGGGGAAACGAGCCTCGGGGGCAGCCTGGTAGCCTCCCTGTGACCCACAGTTCCCTGGGGCCCCAACCGAAAGCAGCTCCCAGGGTGCGTAGGGACCCTTGAGGACAGAGGCAGCGTCCAGCGCTGGAGACGCCGGAGGCGCCCGGAGGCCCGGCTTGACGTCGGGTGGGGAGAGCTGAGGCTCGTAGAGGCACTGCGAGGGGGCGCCCGCGGAAGGGGAGGCCTCCCAGAACGCCTCTGGGAAGGCGGCAGCGCCCACATCCGGGGAGTAAAGGTCTGGCGGACCTGGCAGCAAGGCGTCGGGCCCCGCGGGGAAAGGGGCATCCAGCGGGGACCGGGATGCTGCCGCCTCAGGCCCGGGGAAGGGTGCCAGGCCCAAGATGCCCGACATGAGGTTGAAGAGTGCCTCCGGGTCGTGCGGATGTTCGGGAACTGCCTGGATGAAGAAGCTACCGCTGTAGCTGAGGCCGGGAGGGGGGGTGGGCGCGGGCCCCTCCAGGAAGCAGGAGTCAGTTAAGTCCCCCCCGGCGCCGCAGCTGCTCAAAGCCCAGCTCAAGAAGTCGCCTGCTGAGGAAGGAGCAGGAATCAGCTCTGGGCACATCAAAGGGTGCGCCTCTGAGTCCACAGCCCCTACACACGATGGCCTCGGTGCGCACCGACACTAAGTGCCCTCTGCACATTCCCATCCAGCAGGGGCCGGCATATGTCCCAAGAAGCACACGCGAACGTGCACACGCAAAACACACGTGCATAGATAGGCAAAAGGACGCCCCGATACACGCACAGGTTCCTGCGGAGGAGCTGGCGACCCGGTGGGGGTGGGAATTAAGGTGCGCACCCCGGGACCCCCGCGCCTCCCATCACCCCTACTCCCATAGCTCCAGCGGCCCCATCACTGCCGGTTCTCAGGCATCGTGCGCCCCCGCGCTGCGCTGCCGTCTGAGCATCCCCGGTAGCGCTCCTTACCTCCGGGATAGGCGGCGGCGGCGGGAGCATCCCTAGCGGGCAGCCGGGGCAGTTCAGCGCTGGGTTCGGCGCAACAGTCCTCGGTAGACTTGACCA